AAAAAGAGAGAGAGAGAAGGGGGGGAGAGATGGGAGGAAAAGGGAAGGGGGATGAGTGGGTGGTCGAGGAGAAAACGAGATAGGCGAGGGATAGCAAATGAGGGGATTCCGCGCGGGTAACTCGATACACCGCCGTCGTCATATTTTTACGGGCGCTGAAACGAAACACTTAAAACGCGGCGGCGGAGGCGGCAGTAGCGTACACGCGTTATTACATTTACGCGATAGATCACGCTAATTGCGGGCTACAGCGTACGGCGTTGCTCGTAACTTACGCAGTCCGGTTACGAGCTTTACCGGGGGCGGCCGAATCGCCGGATACGCTTCGCGCTAATCTCCGCGCGAAAATTACGCGGGATTTAATTTATTTTTCTGTTTTCTTTTCTTCGGAAACGTAAGGCCTGACGAGAGCCGCGCCGTTCTCGTCCCGCCTCTCTCCCCCTCCCGTGCCGTTCTCTCGCGGTGATTTATAAATAGCTCGAAATTACGCGACAGAATTCCATTCGCGTTCTCGAAAAAGAGCCGCGCCGCCAGCCTCCTGACGACGACGATAATGACGACGGTGATCACATCCTTCTCCGTCGCAATTCCGGCCGCCGCACGCGAGAATTTGGCCGTGCGATCGACTATTCGCAAGCTTCCGCGAAGAGGGAATTTGGCAGCGGCGGATAATAAAATCGTACGTATAACGCACGGGTGGACGGGGTAATGGCCGACGTTAGCATTGTTGAAGGGTGAAGTATGCGCGGGGCCGAGCGAGGAAAGGAAGTGGTGCCGCGGGTTTATGTTTCGGGTGGAAAGCGCGAAATACTCGCTCCGGCCCGACGGAAAATCATCGCGAAATGGCGCAACCGATACTACGCGAGCCAATGAAAACATCACAAGAAAAATTCCTCGGTTATCAGAACGGAATTCCGCGGTTATCGGCAGTGTTCGACTTCGACTCGTTATCATCGACTCCAGCATCCCCTTAAAGGGATGCCGGGGTGGATGACGAACTTGAAAAATGCCGATACGCAGAGGCGACCGTCACTGACACGATCATGTAAATGTGTGCTGCTTTGCTTGCTACTATGCCCCAGCAGCAAAACATAACCACGCATATACAGAAATCTCTCTGCAAACTTCTCGTGTACTTTTCAACTTCTACATTCGGTTAGAAAGACACAGAAATGTGCCTTGAAATTTTCGTAGCATTTTATAGCGCAGCAAACACACGTGCAGCAAGTTGCGGAACTCTTGCATCAAGTAAATATTTACGCCCACTGATAAGTTGAGATGCGAATTTTTAAATTTTTTATCGTCTTCTTCACATATTGAGCAATGCTCCAATTTATTATTACACGTACTTTTAGTGTGAGAGCACTTCTTTGCAACCAATACGACGTAAACTTTACAGAAAAAAGTATTTGTTGGTCAAGTTTTTAAGTATGACGTCTTCTTAACCCTTTCTCTTAACCAACGGAATATATATATTCCAGGGCATATGTTTTCTCCACCGTTAATAATAATTGAATAAACAGCTTCTTTGACATTCAGAACACATCACCACTTATTATCGTGTTGGGACAAATATGCTCTCCCAAAAATCTCAGTAAAACATCAATGTCCCGGCTCTACCCTCTTAGAGCCAAATATTTTAATTTCCTATCTTTAATTTTAATCCTTTAACTTCCTTACTAAAATTACATCATATTCCTGTATTAATGAAGTGAAAGAAAAAATATTTTTTTATCTTGTAAGTAAAACAAAATTGGTAACGAAAGGGTTAACAAGCGTACATTGTCTGAGATATAAATCACATTTGTTCTCGTTTATTTAGGTTATATTTTGTTAGTAATGACTCCATTACACAAGTGAATAATAGCATTATTCTCTCCATTACAGGAGTGAATAATAAGTATCGCTTAGAGCAGCAAATTGAAAGTAACAAATCATTTGTTTCCGTTAATGGGGTCATTTGCTGTCGCGTACCAACAAACCAAATTTGTCGCGGGTACTGGTGTTCCGTTAAATTAGCAAAACTTTTTTTCTCAGTGTGTAACAGCGTAATCAAGCGCGAGGCCGCTTTGTGTTACGCGAGGCCGATGTTTGCCAATCGCAGGTGGGGGGCGATTTTTGCGCGAGATATGGGTAACCGATGAAGGAGTCGCTGCTTTCGGCAGCAGAGTCAACGCGCCGTTGTGATGTAGCTGAATGAACGAATGGAATGCGTTCGGCCGAAAGCACGAACGGCGACGTGCATTATGAAAGTTTCAATATGCTTATGTGCATACGTGTGCCCGACTATAACAGGGTTAGTGGGTATACCGAAAGTATATTTTGTTATGGCAACCCCTCGCATACACCCTGATTACGAAGTTCCGCATATCTAAACCTTCCGCTGGTTCATATTCGTGCGATTTGCGCCGAGTTGGAAAAGCGACTACGCACGCAGCAGTAAGTACGATGATGCCGCGAGAGCAATAAACACACGCTATTTTCCCTCGCCCTTCCTGAGAGACGAAATTTCAATCCTATTTTCAGTTTTGCTATTCTATTCAACACTTATCTTAATATTCTCGAGTCTACATCAATCTCTTTTGATTCTATTTCACCTAAGAGATTCTAAGAGATTCTCTTAAAGAGAAGGTTTAAATCTAAACTGAAATTTGAGCATCTCAGTTGAGATAAGTTTCAAGTAACGACTGTTAATAGGAACTTTGACTTGGGCATTAATCGATAAAAATTTTGTTTAACTAAAATAATCGGAGAATGAACTATTAAAATTGATCAATCGTTATGTATAAAATGACAAATAATTTAATTGATTGATAACATTAATTACTAATCAAACTGTTATGATTGATTATACATTGTTTAATAATAAATTTTACCAATCGATTAAATTATTCCTGATTACATATATAACGATTGATTAATTTTGATTATTGATTTGTCGATTATTTTAGTCAAAGATAATTTTAATTGTCTCGAAGGCCCATTTGTCTCATGCGAGACAAGTCTTTTTATTCCGAGTTGGATCGAAATCTTTCAGTTGGATTACAATATACGTGACATTTACATGCATTTATAATCCTGATTCAAATTCTAATAAAACTCTGATCTGATTCTGAATTCAAATCTGAGTATCTCACTTGAGACGAGTTTCAAATAATAGTCATTAATATAGGCCCTTAGAGAAAATGAACAATTTATTTTGTTTCTCGATTTAAGATGAATTTAACACGTTTTTTTCAGAATTTTACATACATTATGATAAAACAACAAAAAATACTTTTCTCTTTATTACTTTTTTGGCAAAATATCAATGAAAAATGAGAGGACGACAACACTCATTTTGACTAGATTGTGTATTTACCTTTAAGATTGAACATCACGAGAAATTGGAGACACGCGAATTGCAATTCGTCGCGGTTAGTGAACCGTTGGCTGCGAATCTACGTTAGTCGCGCTCGATGCATGTAATGCAGAAATCATCTTGATGTACGCGCGTCTCTTATGCATAAAATTAACAACTTACAAGAGGATCTCACCAGCTGAGTATACAATCGCGATGCATTAAAGTGCTTTATTCAACGTGACGAACCAATTGCGGCTGGCTGCGCGACGGTGTGTGTACGTGTGATAATACGCGTTAAGCGGCCACGTCGAGATTCGCACGAGGCGGATAACAAGTGGAAACAACGAGAGTCGGAGAATCGAAACTTTCGAAAAGAAAGTATACTAATTGAATAAAGCCAGGTCTACTAAATACGCGAGCTAACGCGCGAATCTGTCGTCTCTCCATCGATAGCGAACTTGTTTAATTATTTGAGAATAATTATTCGAAGATACACTACTTCTTAAAAGTGAAACATCACTGAAAGCAGTAAATATACACTGATCTACAGTTATAAATATAGCACTGAAACTGTTCAGTACTATATTTATAACTAATATCGATGACTACTATTCACTGATTCAGTGAATAGTCATTCAAGAGAATAAGAATTTTTAGTCATATATTTATCTTTTTCATCTGTTTCATTAAAACATGTATAAACAGTGTAAATATGTACACTGAGAAAAAAATTTACTAAATTTCAAAAACGTTTGTTTAAATAGAACTTTGAAAATATTTGTTTAAATTAAGTAATTATTTTCTAAAATTAAATAAAGAAGTTTTAAATGTAAATTTGTTTCTTTCATTTTAGAAAATAATTACATAATTTAAACAAATATCTTCACAGTACTATCCAAACAAACATTTTTTGAAATTTAGTAAATTTTTTTCTCAGTGTATAAATAGTATGTGATAAAACGCAAATCAGGAAATTAAGAGAAACATTTCAGAAACAATGTCTTTCTGAGTATGCAATAAAGCATATTTCTGCGACATACAAATGAAATTTGTTCGCCACTCAAATGCCATATCAGAAGCTTGCAAAAGTTCATCCATTTTTTATTCTTTCTTATTAATAATTTAATAATTAACTTAATATATAATAATTTAATTTAATAATTTTATTATTAATCACTTAATTTAATTATTCTTTTATTAATAATAGTGAGACAGAATACTCTGTAGTAAGACAGAATACTCTGTATTCTTGCTATCGTTATCTACCTTTTAGTCTCATTTCACATCTACATGCAGAGAATATTAGTTTTTCACATAAATTCTTTTTAATTTTACTATTTGTTTTTAGTAGTACAGAAATAAACTATTAGTAAGATCTATTTTGCTAAGAACATAATAAATTTCCTTAGAAACATGACAAATTTTTTAATAGCACATTTCAGTTTCCAAAATATGAATATACGGGAACGAAACGATAGTAAATTGTTACGATCTACTTCTTTCGATTACAAAATCCTACAGAAATTTTTACACTAAAATTCTCCCCGTGTATAAAGTAGACTCACTTTCTGAGCAAATAAAGTTCTCGACGACAGACTTTGGCAAGCTTCTGATAATTAAAATGCTCCAATTTAAATGAGAATATATGTCACAATACCTGTTCACGTTGAGATGCTGCAGCCTGCTGTTCGCGTACCAAGTCGCATCCTTCCAGTCTTCATCATCGACACACACACACACGCTTCGACTGACCGGCGCACCGACGACGCGTCTTTGTCGCACCCACTGCAACACGAGAGAGAGAACGATTTCACAGCGATTTTCAGATTCGCGAACCGACGAGCACCGCACTATACACGTCCGTCTCGCCCGACGCATGGAGACAGTGTGAGTGAGGGCACGGGCGCGCGACCGCAACATAAACACGTAACGACGTAACGCGCGACAAAAAGTCCCGGAATCTGTGTAAGAAACGTAACGGCCGTCGGGGCAAAATGTAAACAGACAGTACGATACAGTCCGCTCAGAAGTTTTTGCACCGGGAGCATCGAAATAGCAAACCAGCGTATTATACAGTCCGCTCGCAATTTTCAGACGCGTTTTTTCAGATTCAATGGATCGTTCAATCCATAGTCATCAGTTTGGAAGCATTTTTTTTGTATAAAACTTTAAAGTTTAAAAGATAATTTTGATGGAAATTTTTATACACAAAATTGAAATGGAATATTTTGTACACGAGATTAAAATGAAATCTTTTATACCATACTGAGAAAAAAATTTACTAAATTTCAAAAAACGTTTGTTTAAATAGTATTGTGAAAATATTTGTTTAAATTAAGTAATTATTTTTTAAAATTAAATAAACAAATTTATATTTAAAACTTCTTTATTTAATTTTAGAAAATAATTACTTAATTTAAACAAATATCTTCATAGTACTATTCAAACAAAATTTTTTGAAATTTAGTAAATTTTTTTCTCAGTGCACACACGGAAAAAATACATTCTGCATAAGGTTTCATAATATTTTTGTAAAAAGAATAAATTCTCCTTTTTTGAGTATGTAATATAATGAGCTTAAATTTAATCTCTTGAGTTTTAATTTCTTAAATTTGTCTGTCTCTGATGAGTATATTTTAAGACTATTATCAAGAAAGTATTCTTTATTGAAAGTAACTTAAAAGAAGGAAAATGAACTTAGTGATCGTCTTAACAATAGAATGATATTTTTTTGTGTGCAGGGATTAGTGATGTTATTGTGTAGCCAGGTGACTTTAAAACGTCCAAAAGATCCCTACAGTTTCTCTAGTCAAAGTTAGGACAAAATATCATAATTTTTGATTGGTCTGCATTCTGTCCGTCATTTTTAGGGAAAAAAATGAGAAAAATTCTAATAAGAGTGAGAGAGAAGACACGTATTAATAGTCGTTACTTGAAGCTTGCTTCAGGTGAAATAATCAGACTTAAATTTAGAGTTCGATATAAATTTTTCATCTGAATCGCAATTATGAAATAATGTCGCATATATTATGATTTAATATGAAGAAACCTTCATCTAACTAAATTCATATCCGAGCATCTCACATAAGACAGGCTTCAATTAATAGCTTAACTGAAATGACGGAGCACGTTGTAACTTCTTTCTCTCACTCGTTCCTTATGAATGGCGGACGATGTCCTAACTCCGACTTAAGGAACTCTAGATCTCAACCCCTTGCTTTCGGCTTCTGCAATTACGTCGAACGACGATTCACGACTAATTGCGTAATTTCGATCTTCGGGAACACGCGTCCGACGCGCATCTCGATCGCGTACACTGTTATTATAGACCACTGGAGTATAATTGATCGAGCGTTGTTACGAAATGACGCAACCCCGGTGCAACGGCGGCGCACCGCCAGAAGTGGGCTCCGCAATAATTAACCAGTCGTTGTAATCCGTCGTTAATTACGCGCGGATTCAGAGGAAAATAACGCGTCGCGCGACAACGGGCGGCGGGAGGAGGAGAGGGGAAAGGGAGCGCGAAGGGAACGATAATTATTCCGTGTTCCATCATGCACTCGGCCACCGCGTGTGTCACTCGCGTGTACACGCATACGGGCGCACACTAACGCGCAAACACGGGCGATTAATTATCCCGCGGCCGTCTTACGATCTCTCCCGCGTACCTGCGCCCGAATGCGCGCACAACGTTCGACCATTAGCCTATCTCTGCTTGCGACAATGCGCGCTAATGTTCTTCCAGCGCGTGGATAACAGCGCGCGGCGCGTGAGAGATATAGCGCGGGCACCAATTCAACTGCGCATATTGCGGCAGGAAGTGGCCGGTGATACTCTGCGGATGTGTGCCCGAGGCGTTGCGATACTACCCGTTGAGAGTCGCAGAGCTATTTTTCCTTTGTAAAGACCCCATTAGTTGCCGGACAAACAGAGGATACGTGTATATGTCAGAAGTTGTCAGGAGTTCGTTGGACGATTTCTCTTTCTTTTCATCATAAAAAATCACTTTGCCGATCAATAACTCATCTTTCGAGGAGACGAGAACCGATAAAATAATTTTACAAACGCGGGATCGAACGTCCGCCTGAAAAGTGGCAGAAAGTGATGGATAACGACGGCAGACATCGATGATCGACCCTGCCACATACATTGTTCCATTATTATTAATAAAACCAATATATAAAAAATTTAATAACACTTTTGTAAGCCCTTAATATAACACACACTTATCTCCAACTTGACACATGGAAAACAAATAAAATCTATAGAGTAAGAAAAATCATTGTGACTCAAGTCTGATAATCGAACGTTCGGAACATGACTGGAAGTGATTAAGAGAAACAACTAGCATGGAAGCAAAAGACAAAAATCTGACTCAAGATAAAGTTGTTCCAAATTTCATTAGCTTTCACTAAAAAAAAAAAAGTAGAAATTAGTTCAAGTTTCGAAGCCACAGCCTTCGTTGAAATATGAAATTTTGTTTTACCCCTGGCATGCGTTTTTTCCAAACAATGGAGCGTAGGCAATATGAAAGGATAAAAGTGAATGAACGTCAATAATGAACGCGTGCACGCATTAGTAGTGTATGCCGCGCATACGCCGCAACATGATACGGCGGTTGTAGCGCGAGGGCACTAATTGTTAGATAGCCGCAGTTATACGCTATCGTAGCGTGCATTATGAAGGCCAATAGGAGTACAGCCGCGGCGTGCGCTGCTCTAACGGGCAATTTCGGTTTGGTGAGCGAAACTTGGGCGGCTCGCCCGAAATGAAACTGCAATCGCATCGCGTCGTGGCCGCGTACTCTCGCGAGTTCTTTCGCGGCCCGCGCGACCCTCGGCTCTGAACCGTTGTCTGAACGTTCGGGATGCTCGTTTCCACCGCGGCTACTCCGCGGAGTTTCCCGGCGAAAGAAACGCGCGCTAATTCAGTACCCGGTGGGAGCGTTATCAGTCCAACTTTCGGCCAACTGCAGTTCGCCCGAAGAGAGGAGACACTTTCCCCTCCACCACCTGTCTGCCTGCCTACTCTCCGCCGTGTGTACACGCCAACTTTCGTACTCTCCTCTTTCCTTCGCACGAGCCGATAGCGCGTGGCCGCCACTCCCGTTCGCGTAAGTTTCGCGCCGCGCGACTTTTCGGAGAGTCGTCATGCCGAAGGGGTGAGAGAGAAAGGAGAGAGAGAGAGAGAGAGAGAGAGAGAGAGAGAGAGAGAGA